TGCAATTCAACAAATCATTAAGACATGTACGAAAAACGGAATTTAAAAAAAAATACACTCAAGTACGTGTTTTTTACATTCAAAAACTATGTACGTAGTGTCAAATTCGCAATCTAAAATACATGAAAGCAGAATGCAATGCAACTACATAAAATAACTAGTAAAGGAACATACCAAAGGATTTCTACAGTTAACCAGCTTACATTCCTCCAAGGTACCTTCCAACATCCAACTCTCCCAGACATCGAAACTGTGACTAGCAAAGACAAATTCCGTTCTTCTATTTATCTGCAATGTTAATGTAGCACTTGATTTTAATCCCAGATAAATAGGAAGGTAGTCAACTTTTAAGATCAATTTTTAATCTCATTCAAAGTAATATTACCTGCAATAACTTTCCACCAGCAGCAAAAGATCGCAAACCAATTGTGTCCTATAATAAGGAATCGATTATCTCATATCAGCTAACCAGATTGCAATTAACACAGTAGTCAGCATAGATTGAATAAAAGGCTTACAATTTAGGTCTTTAGGTCCAAGAGAATAAGTGAGTTCTTGCATACTTACCTTGCTTCTAATAACAATGAGAAACTGCGCTGCAGGATCTCTTTTTGTTACATTTGACATAGTATCTAGGAACCAACCACCACCTTTAACTCTTTGCCTTGAGACATGGAGAGTGGGACGATCTCTTGCATACAAAGAGACAACATACCCATCCTTCAACAGCTCACCAGGCTTTCCACTAAGCCTCTTAATAGATTTTTGAACCTGTTCGGAAGGAGATACTTGCATTGATTCTATTGGAGTTTTCCTACTTCTCGAGTCCTCTGGGGAGGCAAACCGAGAACTTGAACTTAACGCTTGATCAGTTCCACTCATAGCTGTATCTTCCTCCTGCTGCGAGGTACTTTCTATTTCTCGTGAAGGATCATCTGATTTTTGCCGGGTTTTTTGGTGTGCATGCCTCTTTTTGGCTTTCTTACCTGATCTGCCTCGTCTTACATCAGGTCGAGTGGCACTTTGAGATAAATTTGAAAGTTGGTGCTGGCTAAGAGACTCCTTGGATTTAATAGCTTCTTTATTCTGAGAGCTTTCCGAACTTGCATGATTGACTTCAGTTGGTTGCTCAACAACGGATAGCTGCAAGTTACTTTCTCTGTCCAGCTTATCCGACTCTTCATTTTTATCACCTATTTCACTTTCATTCTCCTCATCAGATACAGAATCTTTTGGAACAATCCCGTCAAAAAAGAATGTCTGCAATATGGAGATAGCTTTCTCCCTTATCTCCATCCATACTTCTTCACTATAATCTGCACTGTGTGGCAGTATCAACACATTGGGCATCTCCTTTACCTGAAGTAAACCCATGATAAGATATCTTAGAACCAACCTGGTATATCGAAATAAGATGCTCCTGATGGGCATCATTCATGCATGTGTAGGAATAAAGACGAAAAATACATAGAATATACTATCATCCAGAAGCAGGTGAAATTTCCATACCCTTCCGCCTTTCATGCCCAAAAGTTATCTTATCAATTTTAACAGCACACAAAACACCATGTGGTTTCAAAGAAAGGCTACAGAGCCACATGTTAGTTCAAAGACAATTTATGCTAAGAATGTAGGTGCATTTTTTTTTTCCTACTCCTATAAGAAAAATCTACATCTAATAATTCAGATACCAAGTGGGCAATCAATGAGAAGATGGGCGAGGCTAGAAAGAATACAACCAGACATACACATAAGTTGCCTATTAGTGCGTACAGTTCGCAAGAGAATATGGTTTATAAATAGTTGAAAGCTCCCAAGCTTTTATGAGCAAGTCCTGACATTCAAACATGGCAAGAAAGTGGCAAAAACTCCAGCAACGGAGTGAAAGAGGAACTAGACTAACTGGATATAATGAAAAGCACACTGAAGCAATCAAGCACAAGTATTTGCCAGAAATTGACACAGTTACACAGCCTACGGTAACATATAGATAGCCCACAAAGAGTTAGCATACCCATGCTTCCATCCATTGTGGCCCTTCAGCACCATCTAAAGCACAACCAGCTAAAATTCCATCAATCAGAAGCTGTTTCACAGAACAATCGTCCAATAGTTGACAGCTTCCTGTGTTTACCAGAAATGAACCTGCACAACAAGACTTAAAATCATTCGATGCTAATATAAAATACAAGGACCACAAAACTCCTTAAACAGGGATCAAAATGAAGAATAATGTACCAGGCTTTACATGCTGTAAGCATTCAGCATTTAGAATCTGAACTGTTTCATTCGTCAGAGCACAGTGCAGTGAGATGAGGTCACTTGCAGCCAATAAATCATTAAGTGTATCCATTCTTCTGGCAGCAGGCGGAAAACTTATGTGAGACCTGCTCACTTTTCCATTCACCTGAGATATTGTATCAGGCAAAACGTTTATACAGTACATAATAAATTCAACCAGAAGAACCAAATATGAGACGCTAAAGTTAGTTCCAAACTAAAAAGTACACAGTGCCAATTCTTAGTCAATTTCCATCAATAAAAGTGGCAAAAACAATTTTATTTCCATAAGAAGTTTCATTAAGTTTACAAGTCGCTTAATTTGAAAAATATATAGTGAAACCATTTCAAGACACTAGACTTTCCAGAATTCATATAATCTTTAGGATACGAGGAAGCAGTACTTCGCAACTAAAACATCAACGTGTACCCACCACCCCAATAGATAATTAAATAAGTAAAAAACTAAAAGTCCACAATTTCTCGACAAGTAATGCATTCTGCTCCTATAAACCCAACCCATTTCCAATCCGAAAAGAAAATATTAATGAACCACAATTTAACTTCAAACATCAAAATGAACCGAATCTACTCTCTCTTGGTTTTTTTTTTTTTTTTTTTCGGCTACCAGATTCATAGTCAATTATACAGTTATACTACATTTTAGGTTGGGAACGTAGATTAGGATCGAATACCCAAACTTTTCCACATTTTCCATCATAATATGCTTCAATAAACATCAGAAAGAAGTTCACTGTCTCAGCAATATCAATATGAACAATAAAAAGCACATTCAAATGTCACATATTTCAGCTACTCAAATGTTAAAACGTAAAAATGAATTCACAAACTTCAAAAGATGCACTCTTCGAGCCACTAAACATCGATTTTTAGTTCAGTTTAGCTGAATATGAGTTTCAGAGAACTAAATTTGATCGAATCAGTACCTCTACGTCTTGAACATCGAAATAGAGAACGTTCATTTTGAAGGCCAAGCTCCTTGTGGCCAGAGACCTAGCCGACGCAGATCTACCGATAATCCCCAAAACCAAGCCTCGACACCGTCTCATCCCGCGGCACAGCGGTTGGATCGAGCCGAGCCATCCCGAAGCGGAGAGTGTGTGGCGGGAGAGCATGTGCGTCCGGCGCAGCAACCCGAGGAAGAGCGCCATAACCGTGTCGGCAATCTCTTCGGCGCGCGATACGTCTACGTGGATGAGCTGGAGCCCCAGGTCTGCGGCCAAGGCCGAGTCTACGGCGCGGTCGGCGGAGCCGAGGCAGAGGATGAGCTGGTAGGGGCGGAGGCGGCGCTGGGCGGCCCGTGGGAGGTAGGCGAGGGACTGGAGGAGCACGGCGGAGGCAGACTCGATCTTGCCTTCCGCGAGGCGACTGAGCGGCACGTGCTCGACGGCGGCGACGCCGGACAAGGACTCCTGCTCCATCCCAAAATCATCGATGCAATTGAGAGTGACGACCAAGGGAAGCGATGAGGGTGAGGTGGTAGGGCTGTTACGGTGGGGCATTGTCACAGGGGATCTGGTGGTGCTCATGGTCGGTGGTGGTGGTGATGGTGATGGTGGATTAGGGTTTTACGCTTGTAATTTTGGGCATTTCTTGGGGTTAAGTCTAGTAATGGCTCTCATTTCTTTGCTGGAGAGTTGAGAGCTTCGAGTGGCCATCCTTGCACACCTACTCCTCTTTGGCTCTGCCGCTCTGTTCACCCACTATTTGCCCCTACCATTTTACATAATTCCCCTCATGTCCCCAACACTTATTAATTTTTTTTAATTTATTTTTTGTGATTTTACTTTTTATTTTTGTTTTGTTTTGTTCCCCTTATTTAGGGAAGGGATGCAGTATCTGCAGTATCTTTTGACGTACTACGGCCAGCAGGGATCAGGATCCTCTCCTACTCTAAGGATGAGGATCCTTGATCACTTTGGATCATTAGATGAAAATCCAATGGTTATAATTATTATAATTTTAAAGGGACTTTATGTTTGTGACCGTTGGATTTTCATCTAACAACCCATATCTCTTGGTCATGAGGATCCTCATCCTTAGATTAGGAGAGGATTCTGTCCGGCCAACAGCACCATAAAAATGTCCTAGTCATGGGAAGTATGGAGCTTATGCTTACGGATTTGGAATATACCCTTATCTGGCTTGACTAATTTGAAATTACTATTTCCAACATTTTATTTTGGTTATTGCCCGTTACTAACAAAAAGAATTCTTATTAACACTCTAAAATTTTCATTTTACATTTTTATACACTTTTCTCGCTAAAGCGTTGATAACAATTCTCTTATAAAATGACCAGATGCATATCCACTAGAAAAGAAAATCCAGCTTAGCACGTGAACCACTAAGTAGCTTGGTATTGAGAAAGTAACCCATTCGGAGTCTTGGTAAGAGAGCGATCGAGCGTGGGCGAGTAATTGTAGTACAACTTTGGTTTAGTTTGTTTCGGTTTGGTATATTACTATATTATTAGATTGGATTAGAGGGGAATATGATTTGGCTGCTACACATTTTGCATAATTTGGATTCTGAATCATGGTTGTACTAACACCTCGCGGAGAAGGCATTGCGTACAACAGTTGTACACAAGAAGTCTGATGAATGAGATATGATACTCTCATGTAAAATACAAAATCTGATCACAAAACATATGTATCTACTACCTACAGGCTACAGAGCAAGAAGAAGCAATTCAATTATTCATCAACAGCTTGCGCACTGCTTGCCCACATCGAATTTTATTAAATGGAGGAATGAGCGAGAAAATAAAAACACGTCAGTCCAAGTGAAGCAACGCTACATTTATCTACAAAAACATCCATGATATGAAGTTTCCCAACCAACTCCAAGGACCGCAAAATTTTCTACAGGACATGAAAAAAATAGACAAATACATGCATCTTCAAGAAAGCAAAGTCAAACCTTGTACAAGCTTGTGCCGGCTGCTAAACAGTCTTCGCTATTACCTACAGCTCCCTCAGATCTTCAAAGCTTATTTTCCTGCCTCGGAAGGCTAAGCTGGTTCTCCACATTGTCACCGTGATGATGTTTCATTGAAACAACATTTCAATGGTCCAGTAACCGGCCTTTGGAGTGAAGTAAACTTCCAACCCGACTGCAAAAACTCATGCTCAACAGATTTGTGTTCGTGCCGTTCTCTCTTCCTCACAATCTTCAATATTTCATTATTGTATTCCCTTGACTTTCCCAAAAGCATTTCTGATTATCCACTTCAGAGAAACCTCCTTCGGAAATTACTGGTAGTCGCTTGATAGGAACGCATGAGCAATCCAACACCAATCCCTATCCCAAGGCCAATTCCAACACCAACTCTAACACCAGCATGCAACCATGTGAGTTGGCTGTCCTCACCAGTGTACATTTCATCGGAGTAGAACTCATGCTCTTCAATTTCAGAGTCTGTAATCTGCATACGATTGCCAATCAAGGACTCCAAGTCAGTTAAAACTACAGATGATAAATATACTTCTTTCCTCCAGTGCAGAGGCTTGCCTAAGTAATGGGGCTAAAGCCTAAACCAACCCAAAACGATAACAAATGCAGGAAGATTAATCACCAATAAAAGCTTGGGAATCATATGTTCAGAAAAACGCACTGAAAAAAGAACATATACCGCTACTAATGCATTTGCAAAATGAAGCTAATCTAGCTGCAATTCCCCCAATGAGCTATATGTTTCGCGTGTGTACGTGCACCAAAAAATTGAAGTAAAGGACCCTAGAATGGGAGGTAAGTTATCAAAGAAACAACAAACATTTCCATCCTAACAGAAACCTTCAATAACCATATCTAGAGAGGGAAAAACTTAACGCAACCCTTTCTCCCTCACTTAGAAAACCACAAAATGGATAGTTTCCAAGTGATATAAATAATCTACGAGATATGAACCAGCAGGTTTTGAAAAGTACTGGACCAAACTTGAGAGCAATAAATTAAATACATGATCCACAACAATTATCTACAAAGTTTCGGTCCCCTGTAGCGCTGTTATGGCGGATTATACTATCATCCCACTTAACAGTAACATTCCCTTAATTAAAATAAGTATGTTCGACAGAAGAGCGACTCATGGAGCATTTTGAAGAGCCTCAAAACACTGCAATTCAATCAAATCAAAGCGTAGTTTAAGAGCCTCATACACATGTACCTACACTTGCAAACACAATTTCCCATCTACAATAGCCATATATGCTAGAAGGCCAGCTAGAAGGCCACAAACTATTGTGCATCCTTTGACATGAATTATTCCCACCTACATAAATTCATCAGAAATCCAATTTCTCTACAACCGCCACCACCAAAATCCTCACAAATTCACAAGGTAGCTACCAACGATTACCGAAACCATATTCAATTCAATCCAATAAAGAACAAAACTTTCAACTACAAATCAATGGCAACATTTCAATACCTGAAGTTTCCGATGGTGAATCATCCCATTACAGCCCTTGCTGTGCTCCTTCCCAACCTCCTCATCCTCTGGAATGGCATCGAGCGCAGCAGTGCCTGGGGGGCCTTCCGCCTCGGACTAAGCCGTATGTTTTTTGTCAATATCATAGGCACACCGGAGCAACACCCGGCGATATAAACCTCAATTGACGGGGCGGAGACCCCGAGTTTCGGCAGAGAAGAACCCGAATTGATCGAGGCGGGCATGTAGCAATCCATGGGAAAGATTGATGAGGTGGATTTGTAATTTTGTACGTGTGAGGTGATTGGCTAAAGATGGGAACCAAGATCCTCGCCGGATCCATTTCTAAAATCATGCAATCGTGTTCGTTTATCGTATATCGTGTGATCAGTTTTTGTTAGGTACTATTTATATTTGACTTTTAAATTTTAAATTTTAAATGATTTATGATCGCACGATATATGATGAACAGACACGATTGAGTGATCCCTAAGATCCCTAAGGAATGGATTCAGCGAGGATCCTTGCTCTAAAGATGGGTGCAGCATGCATGCAGGAGTCATCGGTGCGTGACATGTCGTTAAAACAAATGAAAAATCTTTGTTGTTTTCTCTCTTTGTTGAAAATGTTGATGGGTAGTGAATGCCACAGTGTCTTGGTGGAGTTTTTCAATGCTCTCACAGATTGGTTTTTAACATTGGCATTGTTTATGACTACACACACATTATCAATTCCCATAACAAATTGAAAACTGACTTTGGGAATGCAGGATACCACATTGTCAAAAGTGTGTTGTAAATTTCAAATGTAGTAATATGAGTTGCTCTATAAATAGAGCACTAGACTGCAATCAAAAGATACAGAAAATATACAGATAGAAAGAAAGAAAGATCAATAACATCATCTATTCCTCTGTATTTATTTGTTATCATCTTGTGCTATAGTTTTAGTGTAACATTTTACATTTGCCTCGCACCTACCTATTAAAAGGTTATCTCTCTAATTTTGACTTATTTATAACACGTTATCAGCACGAGTCTCTAAAATATAATCCTTCTCTCATTTCTCTTCGCCGAACGAAAGAAAGAAAAAATGTTTCCCTTAAGGTTTTTACTGTTCATCTTCTTCCTCTGCCTTAACTGCGTGGTATACCCTCGTGACGAACTGTTTGCTCCATGCCTACTCTTAGTTCTCAACCTAACGATTACATACATCTTTGATTTCTTATTTGGTGTAGAGATTGATTACTAACCCAGTATTTATGTTAATTTTATTGCAATCCAAGATAGTGCAGGTACAATCGCCCATCTTGAACTACAAATTTATTCTTACTGCGATCCAAGACAGTGCGGTATCATCGCCTATCTTGGACTGCAGATTTAATTTTACTGCAAATTTTACGTGGAGCGGTATAATCGCTCACCCTACCCTGCATATTTAAATTTGCCTGATGTTTAACTTTATTGCAAATTTAGGTGGTGCGGTATAATAGCCTACCTTGCTCTGCGTATTTAAATTTTCCTGCTACTTGAGTGGTGCGGAATAATCGCCCATTCTATGTTACATTATTTCAATGAGAATGGTGCGGTACAATTGCCCTCCTCATTCATCCTGAAAATCTCGAGCCAGAAGTTTTGAGTGCTTATCATTTTGGCCTGAAGATCAAAATGAAAAATTTGTAAGAATCAGAAGTTCTAACATTATATTCCTCCAAGAATACATATTATTGCAAGTTCTTACACATCTCATTTTCTTCCAGAAAAGAAAATGGCGAACTTGGCGAAACTTGAATTTGCTGCCTGGAAATTACCGAGAAGAATTACCTTACCTGGTTACTGGATACTAAGATCCATCTAGAAGTAGAGAATCTTGGAGATACCATCAGGGAAGAGAGTAGCTCATCATTTCAAGATCGGGCGAAGGCCATGATTTTCATTCGTCGCCATCTTTATAAGACGCTAAAAAACAAGTACTTAATAGTTGAGGATCCGTTAGCTCTCTGGAATGCTTGAGAAACAAATACAATCATCAGACAACGGTGATTCTTCCAAGGGCTCGCTATGAGTGGACTCATCTGAGGATTCAGGACTTCAAGTCAGTGGCAGAGTACAATTTTGTGTTGATCAGAATTACCCATCAAATGAAGCTCTGTGGGGATACTATTACTGAGGAACATATGCTGGAAAAGACTTTCAGCATATTTCATGCCTCTAACGTACTCCTGTAGCAACAGTATAGAGCGTGAGGCTACACTGAGTACAACCAGCTGATATCTGTGCTCTTAGTAGCTGAACAGAACAATGAGCTCCTGATGAAAAACTATCATTTCCAACCTACTAGATTTGCACCATTCCCAGAAGTGAATGTTGCTTCCTCGAAGTGAACGCCACATCCTCTGGTGGTGATAATCATAAATGAGGATGTAGCCATAAGCGAGATCGGTGGAATAGGAAAGGCAAGAACTATGGAGTTCAGTTTCACAATCAGATTTTGAGGCATAATTCAGGCCCGAACTTCAAAAATGTGAATTGTCACAAGGGCAAAGCTCATATGAACAATGCTCTTAGGAACTCTGAAGAAGCCTGCCATAGGTGTGGTGGTAATGGGCATTGGGCGCGTACTTGTCGTACCCCAAAACATCTGGTGGATCTGTATCAAGCCTCCCTTGAGGAGAAGGGTGTCGAAACCAATTTTCTTGACCAGGCTAAACTAATGGATATACCTAATCTAGTGTTTGACTTATCAGGGCAGTTGAACACAACTCATCTATATGGTTCAGATTTTATTGTGGAAAGGGGAATGAAGTATACCGGTCCGACTAAATCATTTATGTTTGATGTACTTTTATTATGCTGAAAACTATCATTTCAATTCAATAAAAGTGACATTTCCTGTTATAAGTTGTTTGTTAACTATGATTCCATTTATTCAGAAAGTATGGATAAAAACTGTGGTTATTCTCAGAACATGAGAAATGGCGAAGATATTTGTCTTGCAGACAGCGCAACCATACATACAATACTTTGTGATCAAAAGTATTTCTTAAGCTTAATACTTACAAGAGTAGGGGTAACAACAATATCAGAACCTTCAGATGTAATTGAAGGCATAGAGAAAGCCCAGATTATGTTACCAAATGAAACAATATTGTCCATATAGGATGCATTGTATGCTACTCGATCTACTCGAAATTTATTGAGTTTCAAAGACATACCCTTAAATGGATACCACATTGAAACGAAAAATGTAGAAAATGTGGAATATCTATGGATTACCTTCAATGATACCTAGAAGCGTATATTGGAGAAGTTGCGTAGTTTGTCGAGTGGATTGTATTATACATACATAAGGACAATTGAATCACATACTGTCATGAACCAGAAGTTCATTGATTCAAAAGTTTACATGCTTTGGCATGACCGTCTGGGTCATCCAGGATCTACCATGATGCGTATGATCATTACCAAATCTCATGGACATCCATTAGTGAGCAAACACATTGCTATCTCAAATGATAATCCTTGCAAAACTTGTTCTCAAGGGAATTTGGTAATTAGACTATCACAACTAAAGGTTGATGCTGAATCTCTATCATTTCTGCAAAGAATTCAAGGGGATATTTGTGGGCCTATTCTACCATCTTGTGGACCATTTCAATATTTTATGGTTTTGGTTGATGCATCTACTTCATGGTCACATGTTTGTCTCTTGTCTACTTGGAATGTAGCCTTTGCAAGACTTCTTGCTCAAATAATTAAGTTACGAGCACAGTTCCCAGATTATCCCATTAAGTCAATCTGACTTGATAACGTTGGTGAATTTACGTCTCAAACCTTTGATGATTATTGCATGACATTGGGCATTGATGTTGAACACCCTGTTCCTCATGTCCATACTCAAAATGGTTTAGCAGAAGCATTGATCAAGCGGTTTCAGTTAATAGCTCACACTTTGCTTATGAAAACCAAATTGCCAGTCTCTGTATGGGGACATGTCATCTTACATGCTGTATCATTGGTTCGATTCAGACCTATAGCCAACCATCAATACTCCTCAGTACAACTCGTGTTTAGACATCAACCAAACATTTCAGATTTACGAGTTTTTGGTTATACTGTTTATGTGCCTATTGCACCACCGTAACGTACTAAAATGGGACCTCAGCATAGACTGAGAATTTACATGGGTTTTGATTCACCATCTATCATTATATATTTGAAACCCTTGACAGGTGATATGTTTATAGTTCGTTTTGCTGATTGTCACTTTGATGAGACATTATTCCCATCGTTAGAGGGAGAATAGACCATTCCAGAAGAATGGAAAGAGCTGACATGGGTTGTTCCTACCTTGTCTCATTTTGATCCTCGCAGCATTCAATGTGAAAATGAAGTGAAAAAGATTGTTCATCTTCAAAGCATTGTCAATCAAATGCCAGATGCATTTAATGATGCTATGAAAGTGACAAAATCAAATATATCAGCTGCAAATGCACCTGTAAGAATTGATGTCCCTGTTGAACAAAATAAAATGGCAACGAATGATTCATCTGGTGCACGCTTGAAGCGTGGTAGACCCCCAGGTTCAAAAGATTCAGCCCCTCGAAAGAGAAAGTCGAGGGCATAGCTGAATCCAAATGAAATCATTCAGGAGGAGAAAATGAATGATAAATTCATAATTCATGATTTTGGACTTCTAGAAAAAGAAAATGTCTTTGATAAGACACATGTCCCTGATAGGAGCATATTCATGCGACTTAAATGGCTTGTTCTCGTGCATTTACGTTATGTTTCTCTAGTTATTTTAGTCCTTTATGCTTCTTTTGTGTGTTTTCAGGTTCTAAGGGCTTAGGGAGCAAGAAAGTGCATTTTGAGGCTATTTGGAGCATTTTTGGGCATGAATTGGATAGCTTAATCATGGAGCAAAGACGATGGACGAAATTGAAGCCTTGTATGCTCTTTGGGACATAAAACAAAGGGCCTAGCCCAATCAAACAATCCATCAAAGCCATGCAAAACCACCAACACATGCACTCACATGCATTCACATGCATTTCAAGCACCAAACATTCTTCTTTGCTGTGCCTTCCCCTTAGATTTTCAACCCACATGCAACTCTTCATCATGCAAAACCACTAACACATGCACTCACATGCATTCACACACACTTCACACAATTCCATAAGCCTTGCCACACATTCACCCACATGCACATTCAACCCATCACCCATTCACCTTGTGCCGTGCACATTCCCTAACATTTCCAGCTTTTCTTCATTATTATTCCCCCTTTGTTCCAGCCATTTCCA